ACCTGCTACCACCCCACCTCCGTCTGCCTGCCTGGTTGCCTAACCCAGAGCTGCGGATCCAGCTGCTGCCAGCCTTCCTGCTGCTGATCTTCTCACCATAGAATCACTCGGCACAGCCGACCTCCAAACAACCAAATTGCCTGTTCCCCGGTTCCTGCCACAAGCCTCATTACCAGGCTTCGCTGACATCCAGCATGCTGCTACTATCTTTCTATTAGTTTCTTGATTAACAGACTTTCTGACTTGGCTTGGTAAGATGCAGTCTACTTCACCCTGACCTTCTGTGTCCTTATTTGCTGTTGATCTCTGGGATAGGCACAGGCCTTTTTCAGGTCTCCTTGATCTATTGCCATTGTCCCAGCCTTGAAAAACTGATTATCACATTCCCTCTAAGTAACCAAAAACAGAAATTCGTATGATAGTTTTCTTAGTTTTTTTCATGTTTATTAGTTCATTATAATCACATTTTTTCTAATGGACTCCTTATTCTTCTGTCTTACTTTTCTCTTTTCATGATCACTTTGTGTTACCTTCCCAGCAAAGCTTCCCTTATTCCTTCGCAATAAAGTCTTTGCTATCTTCCAGCCTTTATTGTGAGTTTTTTGTATGGCAGTTACTTTTAAGGCCTTACATTCATATTGCATTTCACAATTATTATCTATTCTACACCTGATAATGACCCCTAAGCTCACGGAACTGAGTTGATTATCTATCTCCCTCTTTCCACATGAATAAAGTGCTTCCATAAGGTCTTTTGCCTCCTTATGGACAGAATTTGGTCAAGGGCCTGGAACCTCTGATTCTAGCTTCAGGGCACTTACATTTACATCTTCCTACAATTACACACCAAAACAACAACAGTGATCTGAGCGCTGAGCACTGGACTGGAGAGATGTCTGCTTTGGGTTGCCCATGTGAAAATAAACATTTCCATATGCAGACAATCTGGCTGTTTACAAACGTATTCTCCCATCTGTTTCCAAAACCTCAGCGGCCAGTAGGCTGGTTTTAAGAGCCACCCAGCAGGTTTGCGTATCCGTTGTATTCCTGGCACTGTGCTGGCACATTTAAGCCAGCGGCTCACCAAAAGACGTTTATATTTTGATGTCAGGGGTTGACATTCTGGGATAGTCTCTTTCCTCTGACCATGTACAGTGTGGAATATAAAAAAGGAATCAAGCAAAGCACGTATCTCCAGGGCATATTTCATATACCCGCATGCTTCGAGTCAATTTTTTGTCTTGACCAGACAATATTAAGGAAATTAAGTATGGACACAGTCCTGGGCATTGGGCTAACCACATCAAGGAAATTTACCTTGGAGCCATCCACAATCCCTACAAAGCTCCATCCTGCATTTTACAAGACAAAGCCAAAGCACAGGTTTATCTGGGGTTCTATGAAGAGACCCCTAGTTTATAACAGGGGAAGGAGATAAGTTGAGGTAACAATACTTGATAATTATATTTAGATATAGATCTAAATCAGTGTCCCTCACCTTGGGTACTGTTGACATTTGGGCCATATAATTCTTTGTCGGGAGTGGAGGGGTGCGGCTCTGTGCGTTGAAGCATGCCAAGCAGCACCCCTGGCCTCCACCCGCTAGCTGCTAGTAGCCCCCTTCCCAGTTGCACCATATAGAACCACAATGGTGGGGAAAGTGGATAAATGGAAAAATCATAAGTGAGGAATCTACAGAGGAATTGTCTAAATATATAGAATGAAATGATAAAACATTTATAGAAGCATAATTCACAATCACAAAGGAGTGGAAACAACCCAAGTGCCCATCAATACATGAATGGATTAATAAAGTGTGGTATATGTATACCATGGAGTACTACTTAGCCATAAAACAACAAATGGTGAACTGATACCTTTTGTAACAACCTGGATGGAACTGGAAACCATCCTCCTGAGTGAAGTATCATAAGAATGGAAAAGCAAACACCACATGTACTCACTATTAAATTAGAATTAAATGATCAACACTCATGTGTACATATGGTAGTAAAATTCTATGGAAATCAAGCAGGTGGCAGAGGGGAGGAGGGGATGGGTAAATTCACACCTAATGGGTACAACGCACGCTATCTGGGTGATGGACGCACTTATAACTTTGACTCAAACTGTACAAAAGTAATTCATGTAACCAAAACATGTGTACCCCCATAATATTCTGAAATAAAAAT